GGCAACTTGGCGAGACCTCGTCTCTACAATAAATCAAAAAATTAGCCGGGCGTGGTAGCGCATGCCTGTAATTCTGGCTACTTGGAAGGCTGAGTGGAAGGATCGCTGGAGCCCAGCATATCGAGGCTGCGGTGGCTGGGAGCGGCCACTGCACTCCAGTCTGGGTGACAGAGTGAGACTCCAACTCAAAAAAAAAGAATATGAAAATAATAAATATGAAAAGAATTGCGTTTGGGTATTCTGTCTCAGGGAGGTTTCTGCGACATCTGGTTGACCATGTCGCCAGCCTCAGAGGCACCGGTTGTGTCTGTGCGGCACACTCTAGGAAATTCATTCTCATCCACGTTCTCATCTTAGGGTTTCCCTCGGCAACATTCTGAGACTGAAGGTTAAACACCATGGCCATGACCCAGCTTGAGAACCAACCGTGGATAAGTTCTTTGGGATGGCATGGGGGCTGGTGGCACTGCTGATGTGAACAGCCTGGCTTTGAAGCTCTTACCCATGAATTGTGCTCCCAGAAAATAACAATATGGGTCTTCTCTGGTCCCAAGCTAAAGCCATGGAGCGGCGGACGAGCTTCCTGTGGCCTCTCTGGGGATGCAGGTTGCAGGTGGGATCGTAGGATCCTTGTCTTGATGCTGAATTTTTACATGGTCATCCTGCCCATAATGAGAATTGTCACACCCAGGACTGCAAATACCTCTGTCGCTCAGAAGGGCAGGTGTCTTGGTTTTTTCTGAGTTGGAGTCTCACTCTGTCACCCAGGCTAGAGGGCAGTGGCACACTCCTGGCCACCGCAGCCTTGGCCTGCTGGGCTCCGGCGATCCTTCACCTCAGCCTTCCAAGTAGCCGGAAGGTGCACGCTACCATGCCCGGCTAAATTTTGATTTATTATAGAGAGGAGGTCTCACCAAGTTGCCCAGGCGGGTCTCGAACCCACAGGCTCAGGCAATCCTCTCACCTCAGCCTCCCAAAGTCCTGGGATGACAGGCTGAGCCACTAAACCTGGCCAGGGCAGGTGTCTTATAAGTGCGTGTGAAGCATTTGAGGGCCATACCCCTGGCGGTTCTCCAGGGAAACCCAGAGAGCATGGTCCTCTGCCAGCCACCTCTGACCCAGGAGCCCCGGGGCACCATGGGTGTGTGCACTCAGGAATTTTCCCCACAGAGCGCTCATGAGCAGCTCTCACGTTGCGGCAAGGAGGCAGCCATCTCATTCCTGCATTTCTTCTGCCATGCGTGTCCTGTCCCTCTAGGCCAAGGTCAACCCCTGGGTTCCACTGGCTTTCACTCACAGTCAAGGTCCGGTCGAGAAGCGCACTCACCTCCAGCCATGTTGCATGGATGGGAGGGTGGATGAGATGTCGGCTCTTTATTGTTTGATGTTTCTACCCACTACTTGCACCCCTGGGAAGATGGCAGAGGATGTATAGGCGTGGGGCATGATGGACAGCAGCGAACCTTTGCCAGGAAATTGATCTGCTTTGCAAAATTCTGTACCATGAAACACCAATGGTTTCTCACTTGGTCGCCCAGACCGGAGTGCAGCGGCCGCTCCCCGCCACCACAGCCTCAACCTGCTGGGCTCCGGCGATCCTTCCGCCTCAGCCTTCCAAGTAGCTGGAACTACAGGCGCGTGCTACCACGCCCGGTTAGTTTTTGATTTATTGTAGAGATGAGGTCTCGCCAAGTTGCCCGAGAGGGTCTCGAACCCGCGGGCTCAGGCAATCCACTCATCTCAGCCTCCCAAAGGCGCGGGATTACAGGCTGAGCCACCGAGCCCGGCACTAATGGTTTTTTAACCGGTTTTTCTTTCCTCTGTGTTATCACTGGAGGACATCATCCTGACCGATCTAGTTTTCACATGAAAAGGAGTTGAAATCATCTAGAAAGTTTTCTGACGTTGGCTGGCTCTGTTTCTGTGTGTGTGTTCTTTTTACCGCCTGTGCCGTCCATACCAGGGACTCACTCTGTTGTTTTCTTCACAGGTACTGTGACTGCTTTGCCAGTGGGGACTTTTGTAGCAACTGCAATTGCAATAATTGTTGCAACAACTTGCGTCACGAGATCGAACGGTTTAAAGCCATCAAGGTAATACATTTTCATTAACTAATGCATTTTAAAAGTGCTTGAGACGTTCATAAAATGATCTTCAGGGATTCCTAATCTCAGTATTGGAAAAACCTAGAATTTTTTAATACATCAAACGTGAATATGACTCTCTACCTGCAGGTAGGGGTATTGGCTTGTGTCAAGGGGCTGTCATGAGCTCAGTCGGCAGAGAAAGGTCTTTAATCCCCACCAGTGTAGGAAGGCATCTAGGACAGTTCTGATTCAAGAACATGCAAATGTCTACTTCATCTTGATTTGGGGTTTAGAAATTTGGGGTCATATTAGATAGCAGATAAGCTTGAACTGGACCATTATCATCTAAAAAGGTGTGGATAGTCCGTTGTGTGAAGCACTCAGACATTATGAGTGAAAGCACTCAGACATTATGTATTTTTAATTTTTATTACCCTTTGGCTCCCAGCTGAAAGGAAGAATCTAGGCTTTCCCAAAGGGGCAAAAAGTTACCTGGTGACCTGGCTAGCCACTCTACAGAAGGGTAAATGCAGGAGCGTGCAGCCTGTGTCCCTTTCTGCAGGTACACATTCATGAAAAAGATCACCAGGAAGGGCCGGGCTCAGGTGGCTCAGCCTGTAATCCCGTGCTTTGGGAGGCCGAGGTGAGTGAATTGCCTGAGCCCGCGGGTTTGCGACCCACCTGGGCAACTTGGCAAGACCTCATCTCTACAATAAATCCAAAAAAAAAATTAGTTGGGCATGGTAGCGCACGCCTGTATTTCCAGCTACTTGGAAGACTGAGGTGGAAGGATCGCCAGGGCCCAGCAGGTCGAGGCTGCGGTGGCTGGGAGTGGCCACTGCACTCCAGTCTGGGCAACTGAGTGAGACTCCAACTCAAAAAAAAAAAAATAAAAGATAACCAGGGAGAAGGAAGGGGAGAGGTGGGCTGGGAAATGTCACCCTGCTCTAAGGAGACACTTACTGGTGCCCTCTAATCTATGAAGGGAAATCAAGACTTATCAGCTGTAGACTCGAGACTGTCCTGTGCACATAAAACAAGGTTATCCTGTGCATGGTTGGTCTGTTAATTTTATTCTAAAATAATTTAATTTCCTTCTTGAATTGTGGATAAATTAGTTAAAATAGTTTATCAATTTTGACATAGCCAGATCCACAGGTCAGAAGAAAATTATGATGCATCTAAAATTCAGGATGGTTAGATTTTATATGGGATAAAGGGTATCATCCTTTATAAAAGTGTAAAAACAGTTTGAAAGTGTTGGGATTCTCATGCATTGCTCATAGGAATGTAAATTGGTACAACCCCTTAGGGTCAATATCAGACAATGACTACTGAAACTAAGCCTTTGGTCCGAGTCTTTCTTTCCTAGAAGTACAGCCAATGGAAATGAGTTTCAATGTCCAAAAGATGTGGATAGGATGCTCATAGCAGCTTCATTCATCAAATGAATTCACCAAATTCTGGTGACAACCCAAAGGCCAATCGGCAGTAGAAGGGCGAAGTCCACACATTCACGAAGAAGAAAAAAACCACAGCCAAGCGTTGCCAGATGGATGCATCGCACGGACGTTATGCCGAGGAAGAGGCCAGAAGCCAGAGTCCGCTGTGTGATTCCACACACAGGAAGTCCCAGAACAGGCAAACCTAAGCTACCACAGTCAGAACGGTGGTTCCTGTTGGAGGACCACTGACAGAGAGGAGTCACAAGCCAGCCTAGGGGCTGGACCGTCCCCTAACTCAATCTGGGCGGCAGGTACGCAGGTGTGCACACGTGCACGAGGTCATCTATCACAGCTGCAGGTGTGTGCATTCACTGCCTGTCATCCTTCATGATAAGTAAAAACACATACATAAAGCCGCCCCCTCCAAACCAGGGCTGTCCAACAACTTTCTGCAGCGATTGCCACATTCCAGTTTGCTGTGGTGCTGGACAGCACTAATGCCAACTGTTAACCTTGGGAGGAGGAGGGGAGGACATGGTGTCCACTGTGACTTCTGTGTTGTTGGCATTTTTACCAAGAACATGGGGTCCTTTTGTATGTAAAAATATGTAGGAGGCCTGACAATTAAGTTTGCAGACTCATCCTAGAAAAAAATGCTACATACCTCACTGCTGAATGTCACCATGGTCACTTTTGAAGTACTCCCCTTGGGAAGCTATGCCGTGACACCAGTGCGTAGTCCACCCATCAAGGCAGTTTTGGAACTCTTTTTCTGGAATGGCCATCTGAGCTATCATCGCAAGAATGTTGAAGAGTAATAAACAAACATTAAATTTCTTGTTTGGCAAGAGTGGAAGTGAAATCAGGGACTTGTTAGTCCAAGTTTACAGGGATAATGTTATGAAGAAAACAGCAGTGTAAAAATGGATTAAACGTTTTTCTGAGGGTAGGGAAAGCATCACTGATGAAGAGAGGTCAGGACAGCCAGGAGTGAACAGAACTGATGAAAATATTGCAAAACTTGATCAAATTGTGTGTCAAAATCGTTGGCTGACTGTGAGAAGCATAGCAGACCAAATGAGCATCAACAGAGAAATGGGAAAATGTTAACTGAAAATCTTGGCATGAGAAAGGCATGTGCAAAAATGATTCCAAAGGAGCTCTTGCATCATGACAGTGCACCAGCTCACATAGCCCTGTCTGTGAGAGAGTTTTTAGTCAGTAAACAAATAACTATACTGGAACACCCTCCCTACTCACCTCATCTGGCCCCCAACGACTTTTTTTCTTTACCCAAAGATAATTGAAAGACATTTTGATGACATTCAGGACATCACGAGTAACACAATGACAGCTCTGATGGCCATTCCAGAAAAAGAGTCCTAAAATTGCTTTGATAGTGGACTAGACATAGCTTCCCAAGGGGAGTACTCCAAAGACTATAGAGAGATTCAGCAGTGAGACATGTAGCACTTTTTCTAGGATGGTTCGCGCATTTAATTTTTATCAGACCAGTATGTATTTGTATGTATAGACAGGTAATACATAGATCGATTAAGAAGTGAAAAACACACCAGGATGAAGAGTTGTGAGTTTGAATGAGGGAGACATGACCAGCTATGGAGACCCTGGCTCTGAAGTCAGCATGGGACTTTGAGTTCCAGTTCTACACTCACCATCTGTTACTTAACCTCTCCGTGCCTCAGGTCCTCATCTGTAAGACGGTAGTTGTTTTTGTCTGTAAGACAGCAGTTGTTTTTACTTCCCAAGGTTGCTGGAAGGGTTAAATTAGAGAGTTTGTACATACAAATCACATAGAAAGATTCCCAGAACACGGTTTGTTCTGCCACATCCAGCCATTGGGAACTGTTAGCTTAGTGCCGAGATCTCAACTACCTGGGAGGAAGGGCACATGGGATGCTGGGAGGGAAAATGTCCACGTGTAACAATGGATTTCTTTGCTTCTTTGCCACCTGTTAACTTTCTATGGTAAATAGGCATGACTTTGAAACTCAGAAGGAAAACAAAGCCTCCTGGAGCAGTGATGGCTGCAGCATACCTTTATGTGTGGAAATTAAATAGAACAAGAATAAGGCACCTTCTCGATTTTTTTTTTTTCTGATTTGGAGTCTCACTCCATTGCCCAAGCTGGAGGGCAGTGGCACACTCCCAGCCACCGTAACCTCGACCTGCTAGGCTCCGGCGATCCTTCCACCTCGGCCT